GTCACGCAATGTTTGTGATGTTTCAGCTTGGTTGCAAAAGGAAAAATGAAGCGAGCTACTTAATTACGTGAAATGGCTCATGTTTACCCATGTCCTTGTTACTTTGGAAGTTTGTTTCCATCCGGACATCTGCACGTGTCACAGTCAGAGTTCGTTATACGCCACTGTCACAACTCAAACAAACGTAGATAAACACTAGGGATGACAATTTACGTAAATCGCTCTAGCCGTAAATAACATTTTGACGCAATTAAACTGTTTAGGACCGAGCTAAAAGGGTCAGGTTTACGTCTCATAATTCTTGAAAAGTGGCCCTGGATTCTATGTGAGTTTGACTTGATTCTCAGAATTTACTGAGCTTGGCACCACTGCTCAAGATGCGTTTCTCGGTATGGTAAACACAAACTAATCAAACGAATGAAAGCCTGTTAAAAATAATACTCTACTTCCGCTTCTACATGTACAGTGTATTAGTCGTTGACTATATTAAGTTCTTTGCTGTGCGAAAATCAAGCTCAGACTTTTCGTAAAACGTTAAGGAAACGAGTAGTAACTAGAAGTACTTTCTCAGAAATTGAGACAATCGAGGTCCCGAAGGCGGGAGAGAAAAACACAGAGACTCAATGGAAAAAAAGTTGTAGTTTTTGAGCCTGAATCGTTACCATTACTGCCTGACAGTGCTGCTACCTTAACACAGTACATTAACTCAAAAAAATAAGTGAAACTTACTCAGAGTAACTTAGAGGATCGCTGGTAGTTTGCGGAAGTGAGATCCTTGTCAATGTCGAGAAAATGATTAACTTCGAATTCTGCGACAGGGACTCAGTCCCAGGGTGCCCGGTTTTCCCGACAGTCGCAGGGTCTTGGTAACGAATATAACACCGATGTTGTTACCAATGTGGAGAAAAGAAGCACGGTTTGCGAAAGGGTTATTGGTCTTGGTTAAAGGCTATTGGTTATTGGTTAAAGGGTTATTGGTCTTGAGGAAAATAAGTAGATATTTAATTATATAGGGAATTGAATCAATACATAAATAGTCCACCCTGCAAGCACATCTTCGTCTTCTTGATTTTCCTTTGAAGAATATTTTAACTTGAGCAGTGAAAATGCTAACATTTGATTGGTACTTGTCGATGAATCTCTTGTTACTTTGGAAGTTTGTTTCCATCCGGACATCTGCACGTGTCACAGTCAGAGTTCGTTATACGCCACTGTCACAACTCAAACAAACGTAGATAAACACTAGTGATGACAATTTACGTAAATCGCTCTAGCCGTAAATAACATTTTGACGCAATTAAACTGTTTAGGACCGAGCTAAAAGGGTCAGCTTTATGTCTCATAATTCTTGAAAAGTGGCCCTGGATTCTATGTGAGTTTGACTTGATTCTCAGAATTTACTGAGCTTGGCACCACTGCTCAAGATGCGTTTCTCGGTATGGTAAACACAAACTAATGAAACGAATGAAAGCCTGTTAAAAATAATACTCTACTTCCGCTTCTACATGTACAGTGTATTAGTCGTTGACTATATTAAGTTCTCTGCTGTGCGAAAATCAAGCTCTGCCTTTTCGTAAAACGTTAAGGAAACGAGTAGTAACTAGAAGTACTTTCTTAGAAATTGAGACAATCGAGGTCCCGAAGGCGGGAGAGAAAAACACAGAGACTCAATGCAAAAAAAGTTGTAGTTTTTGAGCCTGAATCGTTACCATTACTGCCTGACAGTGCTGCTACCTTAACACAGTACATTAACTCAAAAAATTAAGTGAAACTTACTCAGAGTAACTTAGAAGATCGCTGGTAGATTGCGGAAGTGAGATCCTTGTCAATGTCGAGAAAATGATTAACTTCGAATTGTGCGACAGGGACTCAGTCCCAGGTCGGCCGGTTTTCGTAACGGTCGCAGGGTCTTGGTGACGAACATTACACCAATGTTGTTACCAATGTGGAGAAAAGAAGCACGGTTTGCGAAAGGGTTATTGGTCTTGGTTAAAGGCTATTTGTTATTGGTTAAAGGGTTATTGGTCTTGAGGAAAATAAGTAGATATTTAATTAAATAGGGAATTGAATCAATACATAAATAGTCCACCCTGCAAGCACATCTTCGTCTTCTTGATTTTCCTTTGAAGAATATTTTAACTTGAGCAGTGAAAATGCTAACATTTGATTGGTACTTGTCGATGAATCGCCAGTTACATAGCTATTGGCAGAAGCAAATCACACAAACATCTATTGCATGATCCGATCGACTCCTGCCATTGGTATTATTCTAGAACCACAGACATTGCTATAGAAACAGGTTATCGTTATCCACTAACTAAAATACCTTATCAAATTAACAAATGTCAGGGACACCCAGCGACTTTATTCTGTAAAGTAACTGTTCGAAGGAGCAAACATTGCCTAGAAAATTCTAAAGCTTATTAGAGAAAAGCTAACAATTTCTGGATAACCATTCAGTTCGTTTAAAATATTCGGAGGTTTTCTATAACAGCTTAACTACGATTTTCGGAGGTTGTGTTAGTCGCATTTTGATACCAAGATGTTGCGGTTATTGTTGAAAAAGGTCTCCTTAAGCTTTCGATCTTAAGACAAAACTTCCCCTAAAATTTTCTAATGATAGTAAGGCTACTTCATGTCCTCGAACTTTCAACCGGACCCGTAAGGGTAGCTAACACTTTCGGATGAAACGAAAAAGCCACCTAAAACTTTTGTGATGAAGACATCCGAAGAGATAAACAGTTTTTAGGGCAACTTCAAATTAACCAAACAGGCTTCTAAAGGATAGAGAAAACCATCTGAGACACCTGTGGCGTTTTTGGAAACAAGAAAGCTCTGTGCACCTCCGAGTTCCAAGAAGCCAACACCGTAGGGTTAATACCCAGTGCTTTAAAATAGTTTTATTAATTTTTTTAAATACAAAGTAGCAATTTAATGTAAAAATGGCTACAATGTTAATGTTAATATTATATACGAAATTTTAAGCTTTTTCAATGCTTTCAACTGTACGTTTTCTTAGTTTTAAGCATGTTTTTTTGCTTAAACATAGTAAAGACTAGCCTGAAAAACAACCGACATTTGGCGACGCTACCACCGGTTTCCCCTCTAAATGACGTCTGAGAAACGAGCGCAGAAATTCCATACGGATGACGCGCCACCACCCAGATCTGGGCAGTGACGCGTCATCAGTATGGAATTTCTGCGCTTGTTTCTCAGACGTCATTTGACGGGGAAACCACTGGTAGCGTCGCCAAATGTCGGCTGTTTTCTCAGGCTAAGAAAAGACCTTATTTAAAAGACTTTTTGTACACCTTAGGCCCAGTCTTTCCAGTTTAAAATGCAGAAGAAAGCTGAGGAAATAAGGAAGAAGTGAGTATTGCAGACATCATTTAATAGGCCGTATTCGTATCACCCGTAATAGACTTTAATTAGCTTGTATTAGAGCATGGCTGGGAATTAGCAGGGGACAAGGAATCTTCCTCCTCATATTAGCCTTGGTTTGCCAGGTACAATCTAACCTGTCATCTGACGTTATGTTTCTTGTACCCTTGGTGCCAGAGACTTTTCATGCGCGGTTTCTGGTTTCGGTCAATCGGTCTTCGGCCGAAGATCTGTCTGTCGGCCAAAGGGCGACACTGAAGCATCCCGCCGCCCGCGAGAAAAAATCCTCCGGTACTCAGGGTATCTTTCTTGCGCTCTCAAAGTAGAATCGTCTGCCTCCTGGGCAGCTACAATTTTTGTTACAAGTGTCGTAACGCTTACTATCTCTTTCTTCTCCCTCAGTTCTCGGATTTCCCCCCGGATCTCCCTCAGTCCTTTTCTATGTTCCAAAACAACACTTGGTGTGTGTGTTTATGCAGGTGGGGGAGGGGTCAATTCCGTTACTCGTAGGGGGAAGGGGTCAATTCCTGTACTTTTGTATCACTCGTGCATGTATCCCGTAAGGGTCGACACGCAACGCTCCTTCCTACTAATTTAATAGGTAGACACATTGTGTGACGACCGTAAAAACAGGAGACTAGGGTATCTTCTATTTTCGGAAAGTGTTGGTAGCTGATTAGACCAGTACCAAATCTTACTGGCTTAACAGTGCTTTAGCTGTTTATCTTGGTTGAGATTAAGTACCGAGTTTAAACCATTTTTGCCGTTAAATCTCTCCTAGGTTCGAAAATGTCACCGTTGAGGAAGCAACAATAACAGCACCAGTGGCAGACTTCCTACAAGGCGCGCATGATAACTTGTTTTCCAAACTATTTTATTCTTAATAAATTCACACCCAACATAGTCTCCTTCCCAGCTTCTTGGGCCTTGGTCACGCAACCCGGGAGCATTGCGCGACTCCGGCCTGCGCGGAAGTTAATTAGACTACTATCAACAATGACAAAAATCAAACTCCAAAGGATTTTCAAATCTACAATTGTAGATTCCAGGGCTGTCTAAAAATAGACTGCCAGGGATACCCTAAAATAATACTCCTAACGGTGTCTAAAAATGAACCCTCAGGGATACCCTAAGTTAAGCTTCCAGAAGGGTGTCTAACAATGAACTCCCAGGGATACCCTAAAATAAACTCCCAAGGGTGTCTAAAAAAAACTCTTAGGTTGGGATACCCTAAATTACACTTCCAAGGGGTTCTAAAAGTAAACTCCCAGGGATACCCTAAAATAAATTCCCAAGGGTGTCTAGAAATAAACTCCTGGGGGTAACCTACTCTAAATTACGCTAACAATTATAGTTCTGGAAGTTTTGATATTGAATTGTTTAATTTTCTTAGCCGAGAAAGATGAGACACGTAAGATTGGACACATTCGTACTAGTTAAAAAGACTGTAACTCGGGCCAAAGGGTCTGATGTTTTTCTGTAAGTAAAAATGTGTTAATCTCTCATAAAATCCTAGTTATATGTTCAAGTGAGATCATTGAAGAACAAAGAAATGGCTTGACTAAAACTCTTTTATTTCAACTTTTATCAACTGCCTCTATTTTAGTAACAGATCTTTTACTCTCTGCTTGAATGGGAAATGAATGGTTAAATGCACTAATATGGAAATGAATATGAGATGCCCAGGTGGATGGGAAGGGGTGGGTGTATTGTCTATAATGGACCGCACGGGAAAGCCACGCCCTCCCTAGTCAGACTATGTGGAAGGTTAGGGAAAACTGTCATCTGGTCAGAAAAGGGTTATTCAAAATATCTCGAATAGCCTTAACTAATGGCTGACCCATTGCAGTAAAACGCCGGCGATATGCAATGGAGATTCAGGTTGCCAGAATCGTTTATCCTAATCACAAAAACGTGAGTTTAATACCTACAGGGTCGGTTATTTAAACGAGGTCTAACTTATACCGCGATTTAGGAAGTCTTTGGATCTCCAGATCTCTTCCGTAGTGGGTTTTCAAGAAAAATGCTTTTCTTGTCTACGCCATATACTTTTATGAAACCGTTCACGATAATCGGTATTTACATAAAAGCGTTCGGCAAACTGTAAATGGCTTAGAACGCGGTTTTGTTAAATACTGGCTAAAGTCGGTTTAAATAAGTGGCCCCGGCATACGTTTTATCTCTTAGCCATACTCCAGTACTGTATGAAGATGGGCAGATGGGCGTGGTGTAAGACAATATTCTATTTGGTTGTATATTTTCGTCGGCAAATGTGATTTCTTTACAATACTTCTATTTAAATCCTAGCCATGTCGCTGTACAGATCGGAAGTGAATCTTTTTTAATCTATAAACTTTTGTAATTATATACTAATTAGGAAACCCCTTTGTTTTCGTTCGTCATAAGCAATGTTCTATTAACGAAACATTATGGCACTTTTATCGTTTGTGTAGCGTATATTACAAAGCCAAGAAAAATCTGAGTTACTTTTTTTCGTTTCGTCATATTAAAAAGTTCTCAAATCGTTCCTCGCTGCCAAAGCCGTCGTCGTAAACCAGCTTAGACAGAGGATAATGAGATACTGTTCCCGCAAAATCCGAGTGTGCTCTTCGTCTTAGTCCCGGAGAGACCTCGTCTCTGTGGAATGTCGTCGGAGAATCTTCGGTAATGGAATAATCCAAAAACACAGGGGACCAATGGTAGTGCTCGGGAAGACTTATTTTACGATCAAACTGCGGTGGGTCCTCTGGTCGGTCCTTGATAGAGTTGAGGACGCCTCGCAGCTTGACGAACTGTTTCATTAGATCCTGGTCTTGCTGTTGCAAAGATTTCTGTAGGAGTAAAAACAAAGACAAAAAAACGCTTGTAACTGATAAGAGCCATGTTGGTTTAACCTTGAAAACTGCTTTATGTAATTGTTCGCCATTTGTTTGATTTCCAATCAACTGCTCCGTTTCTGGCTCCCCAAGTTATGAAACTACTTTCAGTTGACTTCCACTAACTCGTAACCTGAGATCAGGCTCTATTTTCGTTTCGCTTTGAAAATTACATTCCTGCGGGGAACTGTTAGAGAGAATGTATGAGAACAGCTAAAATTGGGCTTGATCTCAGGTTAACTTACTCGAACCATTGCTAACTAACTAGAACTAAAATCGATTTCCCCCTGGATTTCCTTCATACGTTTACTGTTATTTTACCCTCGAAAACTCAAACCTTCCGCTAACTCGAAGTAATTTTTGTTTCCCCTCAGATCATTTCTATATAATTTTACCCTCCATAACTCGAATCATGTTTTGAGCCCTTAAAAAGCCGGGAAAAACCAGTGTACTGGCGTCCGAAACATTGGATTTTGAAGTCCCATTGACGTGTTGTAGACATTTTGTTTATTAGTTGAGGCAAGAGAGAATGATCTCATTCTCTCTTGGTTGAGGCTGATGTTGTTTGTCACAAATCAAACGTGAAACAGCTTTACTTCTCAAAACAGTATAATGCACGCTCTGTTTTGTTACGGTACGTTCTGATTTATAATCTAAAGGTATCTTTGAATTTTCTCATAACATTTCTACAATGAATGTCAGTAAAATGTACACTGTATAGTCAAAAACTCTTTTTACCTTACTTCCGGCTGTTTTCTTCGAGCTCTCGGTAACTCGAACTTTTTTCAATTTCCCTCAAAGGTTCGAGTTATCGGGAGCCGACAGCATAAGTAAAGGAAAGCCCCATCTCAAACTATCCAAATTAATCCTTAATTGAACAGTTCGTAAAAATTAAAGGATAATATCCTTCCTGACAATATCGAATTAACTTACAGCTGTAAAATTTGCTCTGAAATCTTTGTTCAGCAGCGAATGAGTTGCGTTTTCGCTTTCACAACAAAAGGCCGTATCTGTTCGATCAACCAAGCAGATTCTAATAATCTTAATCGTTTGTTGTTCACGGTCAAACAAAAATTGCTCAAGTAGAGGACGCAACAGACTATGAGGAATGGTCTTTTAACTCCAATGAAGCCTATGGACTGGTATTTTCTGTATAAATTATCACTGTGTTCCAACAAAAGGTTCTATTGTTGTTGCTCTGTGGACTAAATAAGTCACAAGTTGCTTTTAGATTTCTAGCTTGTCAGTCGGCTGTATCCAATCTGTCTGGGATATTGGGCAGTGAAGACTATGAAGCCGTATTTTGTTGGTAATAATATTTATTATAATCCACGAGAAGCTTCTAAGTGCTTAATCTGTGGTAAAATCCCTCAAAAAATACTATTGCACTACAAGACTATACTCGTGCATGAATGCTCATTGCTTGATATTAGAATTATCCCAAGTCCTTTTCCAAAAGCAAATGGGAGCTTTCCAGGGTTGAAAAATCAAGTCATTTAAATGAAAACAATTAGCTGAACTTTGTTATTTCCGACTCAGTTAAGTTCCGCGAAACTGCCGATTGGCAACCGTGTTAAGGCTGCACGCACAGAAGCCCAGCAGTTGATAGAGAGGGCGGGACTTCAGACTTAGAAATATTTCAGATGCTGAAGCAAGAAAAAAAACAACGAAAGGTAAACAAGCCCTGGAAAGTTTATTTTATTTTTTAAGTAATAATTTTTTAAATGCAGAGGAGACTTTTGTTACGAAAGAAGTGAGATTGCGTGCGCCACTTTGCACCCCTGCGCTGGCACTTTACACATCTTTACACCCGTTTTATCAGTCACATAGCTCCAGGGTTGTAGTATTTGCAACCCTAGACACGCACACCGGCATATAACACGCAGCAGGAATAGCTGACCCAGAACGATCGTAAACGTTTCCTAAAACAAGTTACGTAATACTGAAAAACACAAAAGTTTCAGGACAGAACGGGGATAAAAAATTGCCCTTTTTCTATCACTCTGAAAACAAAATTCCTCTAGAACCTGTTTCGAATGTTTAAGGATGATCTACCCGAAGCCTACCCATCTCCTCTGAACAAAGCAAAGTTGTTGTAAAACTGATAAGCTGAATTGAATTCACGCACGTGACTTAGCCAATTTATTCTTTTTTCTAATTTGAGTTGAGCTGTGACCATTCTTTCGGGATTTAGGCAAGATAGTCCTCTCTGAAGATAGCTAGCATTACAAAATTCTCGGGAAGGGTTCCTCTTCCGCTCCGTGTGGTTTTTAAAAACAAATAACCGGATTTACGCATCAACATCGCACACGCGGTCTTCCTGCAGAGGCATTACTTGTAGTTATAAACAGCCACTTTTAGCTTTGGATTGACCAGAAAAATCTCTACCTTTCCCGACAAAATAGGCAAAATAGTTCTGAGAATCAACTTATCTGCTCCCCCTGGTAGCTTCCAGTTCATGTACGAATGCTAATAAGTGGGGCTGCTGTTGTCACTGAGTTTGAAGTTGCTCTTGAAAGAGCGTTTATCAAATAAAAACTTCTTTCATATTAGTCACGTAGGATGGTGCTATGTTGTAAAAAAAGCTTCCTTTACGTCGATTTTGCGGCATTATTTTTCAGTTGCTAACCGAAGAGAAGGGTTTGCTAACCGAGGGCTCGTCTTATACAGTCAAGAGTACATCATAAGTGCGACCGCGTCTACGTTTTAATAAACAAAGCAAACTAATTGCATCATGCCGAGCAATTGTCCAATTTTTTGCAAGTGAATTTCCGTGCGCACCGTAAAAGCTACAATCTAAAATCAAGACATTTCGTCTTATCTGAACGCAAGCGCAGAACAGTAGCTAAACGCAATTGTTCCAAAGTTAAGGTAAAACGAAACGTATTAACTTAAGTGTTTAGATTTTACAAATTGACTGGCCACAGCAAAGGATTAACTGGCCTTGTTTTGACTCGGTGGTACTTACTATTTCTTTCACGATCCACTCTATGGCTCCGTCAACGTCGCTCTTGCGCTCTTGGAAGCTCTTCGACATTCTCTGCTCTTCGTTGAGACAAAAGGAAGGCCTTCGCTCCAAAGGGGACTCCAAATTGCTGGATATGTCGGACTGGATTTCCAATTCCTTTGTTTCGCTATCGTCTGCTGTACACACTCGTATAGTGATACCATCAGAGGACATTATCTTAACATGAGCTGACGACGTTTTATAGACGAAGAACGTTTTGATTAAACCTTTGATCCTGGCAGCAGAGTTTCACTCAATTCAGTCTAGTTTGTCTGATGGTCACTGAAGCACGAAATGTTTCAGTTTAGCATTGTTTAGTGACGCACACGCCAGACAACCTTGTTTCTTCTTTTGACCGATGTATAAATAGCTGGCAGAAGCACATATATGCTTCTGCAGATAGCTGCGTGTTCTGCGTGATAATGCTGACTAAATGCTGACTCCAGGTAAACAACGAATTGACGATCTTCCCGTATGTCAATCTGTCAATATTTAAACCAGAGTGATTGACTAGAGAAGAGCAGAAGTAATTTTTCAATTACCAATTCCGATTTTTTGAAACGCAGTTCTGACGCAATGATCCATGTTTCCGTTAAAACATTAGAACACAATGGTTATCTTTATTAGCAAACGAGTTTAATCAACCACGTGAGTGCCAGTGTGTCGACGAGGATACCTTCGATTACAGCCTACGTGTAGCCGCGTGCTACACGTAGGCTACTTCGATTGCGATCACTGAATCGTTGACCCACCCCAATGTATTATTATACATTGTACTTACTTTCCGTCTTCTCATTGGCTAAAAGCCTACAGCCAATTTTGGAAATTAGCGCAACCTACAGTTAGTTATCTGCTAGCAGATAACTGCCTAATCTGTAGGTTGGGCGCGCAAAGCATGATTTCCACTGTTGTTGTTGACAGTCACTGACGTTTCAACAACCTGTGCGGTAGTCATCTTCAGAGTCAAAGTGAGTTGTATTACGTCAGTTGATGGTATTATTCTCTGGTCATTGATCTGATTCGTCAATTACGTCTCGATGTTATTGGTCGTTTGTCAGTTAAGCCGTGGTGTGGTGCGATTCGATTCGTCTATTGTCACAGTTAAACAGTCGTATATTCTTAGTCAAATTGTCAGTTCTCCAGTCGTTCTCTCGTAGTTAGTTTTGCTTGATCTCGCCAATGAGTCTTCTGTACGGCCCTGGTAACTGTTGGCTACGATTCAATGGCGTTTGTTCTAAGTTAGTAAACCAGGGGCCGGTTTCTCGAAAGTCCCGATAATTAACAGGCCCGGTAAGCTGTCGCCGTTTACATTAAAGATCGAGGTCTCAATAGTTTTGAATCTAGCATGATAAAACCATCAGTTAGTGAAACAAAATGGAGTAGTCTGCTAGCCAGGACCCGCGCTCTTATTCTATATATTTCGATTTGAATATTTGATTTCGGGCCCGAAATACCGGGACTTTCGAGAAACGGGCCCCAGCTTTCTAAAGTAAGACGTTGATAGTAGTGTATAGAATACGTTGTACATGTCGCAGAGCACAGTCCCAGTCAATTTGATGTTTCGTCTGTAAATGGTGCTCAGCAATGTGATTGTTGACGTCACCATTCCTTGTCGCTCGTTTGTGTTCAACCTACTTTTGAAATGACTCCTGGGTTCAAACCTTTCACAATGTATAATAAAACAATGATTAGATTCGGTTTTTGTGATACCCTAAATAATCAAGGTCTCGGGAAGTGTTTATTTCCCGGTGTTTATTTCATCCGCTAAGGCATTTCGAGAACGGACTTTTGAAGCCAGGGTAACTTCTGACAACCAGGGCATGAGGTTTGTGGATGTAATTCATATTACAATTTTCTCTCGATTTGATAAGGATTCTTTAAAACGTGGGCTAGTTAATATTCATTCCGTTTTTGAAACCCAACACTTTCAAATCATTGCAATCTGGGCCGGGAAGCGTTTCCATGGGAATCCATTTGCGTAAGCTGTGGTCTTTCAAAGGAAGATATTCCCACCTGACGTGGGTGGACAAGTTTCATTTGACATTTCCTCTAAAAACTCCGGCCCTTTTCCCTTTCAGTCCTTCTAGGTCTTCTAGGTTCTTTAGTACTAGAACCCCCCCGGGGGGGAGTACTTTTAGAATTTCTGGGTAACACATGTTTTAAAACTCGTAAACGTTAACAAGGTTGACGTTACTCTTTGTGCTTTTCCATATGCTTCATTATTACTGTGAAGAATGATAGCCGAGAACTTCTTTATATAGGGGTTTCGTTATGTCCAGGTTCTTTTCGGTACATTTTACTATTACTCTGAAGTCTAAAGCTAATTGAGCAATTCAATACATGTCGTCATTTATAAACGAGAATTTTACATTCTGTACGAACAATGATCTCTTTTGTAGAGATCCAAGGGCGACGCATTCGGAAAAGCAAACCTTTCCAAGCGAGGCAAGAAGTGCGAGTAAAGTGCCGAAGTGCTGATCTTGGTTGTCTTCAGTCCTTAGAAGTAGCTTTTAAAAGAGTTTTGGATGTTCCCACAGGAAACTGAACTCCTCTGGACCCTGTGCCATGGACAGTTGTTTCCCCTTTATTAGAACTCGTCGACATGGCCAGGCTTTAGTTGGTGTACGTATCACTTGCTTTTAAGTTTTTCTAAATATCTGTCAGTCCAAGAAATGTTTCTGATATTATTGCGTTCGACGTCAGGAGTTTAGGTTGCGTTCTCCTCTGCTTCCCCCTCATCCCCCGCCTGGGGCTGTTCCAGTCTCGGGGGGGGGGGGTACTGCCATATATGGGCTATATAGGTTATGCCGCTGTAAAGGGTATGGTTTTCAAGCAGTTTACTCTAGGATAGGGTATATAAATCAGAGCGTTTGGGTCTAGAATAGGGTATCATTTTTCAGGAAACTGATTAGTTGGTTGAATATTTTATCTAGACTAGTGATTGTGGTATAAGGTTTTGTTTTGGCTAAACTGTCCTAGTGACCTCAGTAGTTTCTAGAAAACGGCTACTCTAGGATAGGGGGGATTTAGGGAGTATACTCTACTATAGGGTAGCAAAATTCAGCTGAACTGGCTCTGGTATAGATTACATACNATCCAGGCATTTTAGTCGGAAAAGACCAAAGAAACTAAAATATTTATTTAACCGTAATAAAAAGCTTTAGGCTTTAAGAGTGGTCAAAGAAATTAGTACTTTACAACTGTATCTGAAATCAACAAATTCTAATTAGCGAAAATAACATTAACCACAGGAAATAATTACTCAATACGGATTAAACATACCAACTTCATGACCTCTAAATAAATGTAAGACTTAGCGCAGCAAAAATAAGATCTACTCAGTCAAGTTTAGAACGCAGTGTAGTCACCTATGCGCGAGATACCCACAAAGAAAAAACCTGTGTTGGTTCAAGCAAACTCCAATTCCGGCCAAGGTCACGTTTTACACTATATCACGAGCTTTTGTGTCGTGTTTAGGCTGTCAACACTTTATTTCTGATTGGCTGGGAAAACTGAAACCAAACAAGTTGTCAACAGGATGTCAAAATGAGTTGAAGGGGGCGGCAGTTGAAAAGGCCACGAATCCGGGCAGGCGGTTTATATTTTTCTCGCGGCTTCGCCGCTCGTTCTCGCGCGCTTCGCGCGCGAAATTTCGCGGCTACGCCGCTCCTGCGCCCGGCTCGACAAAACCGCCATGCTACGCAGGCTACTTATCCTACGGACACAGGCGTATTATACGTCTGTGCCCGCAGGCTATTGGTGAGGAGCGTTACGTGACGAGATAACAGCGTCCGCGTAGGAGACTATTGTCACTAAACTACTGTTACCTTTTCGAAAGAGAAAGACGAGAGTGGGAGAAAGGGCGCTTATCATTCTCGTTCCCGTTTCTGCGTTCCCAGAACCGCTATCCTATCTGAGGCGCTGACCAAAAGGAACGCAGCTCTGTGATCAAGAATGGCGGTTGTTAGAAGATTACGAGCATTTTTGGCATGCTGGTAGCCCGCAGGCTATCGCCGAAGCGTCATGCAAATTTCGCTAAAAGTGTAGTCGATCACCTCGCACAATATCATTTGATGTGAAACCCGAAAAACATAAAAATGGTCCAAACGTTCTTTCAAAGAGAAAAGAAATAAGACATACTCTTTCAATCCTCTCGACATTTTAGACAATAGTTCCGGTCAGACCCAAAAACGACAATGCGAGGACAAGGGCGAAACTCCTCATTGAAAATAAAAACACACTCCGAAACGGTTTCAACGGATCACTTTATTAGGGTTTACAAGCAGTCAGAGATCATTTATGTATCTATTACAATTTCAAGAGGTATCAGGTCACAATTTTACCGTATTAGCGAGCAAAAAGTTGTGAAGTTCTCTATTTGTCTAAAGTCAGTTCCGTGTACGTTCAACTCTAAAGTCGGGTCCTTTTGAATACATTAAAATCACACAGTCAGAAGTTTATAAACCGAACATAAAACAGGAAAAATAAACAAGTTCTTCACGAAGGATATGAAGAAGTAATTTGGTTACTTGATATGACGAAATACTGGATTCATGAAACCATATTTTCAGCTGGCTAAGTCAGGAACGAGCGATAGACATGGCTCCAGGACTTCCCTTGACTTCTTGGGCGGACTGAACCAGCATACACAAAGGACAGCAGCAAGTTGCAATGAGATCGTTCAGGAACGTACCCTCGATTCCGTTCTGCTCACGAATCTTGGATCGGATCTGCGCCATGAAGAATAAGTTGGCGAGAGGGATAAAGGTGGCCAGACCGCACAAGACACAGCTATCGCCCACAGCCTCGGCGTTCTTTCCAGCGGTGTAACAGTGGCAGAAATACGTTACAAGGCACGTACCACAGTCATCAAAGCAACTAAACAATCCATGCGACCACTGCTTTGCCATAGTCGAAGTTTGATCCAGAGAAACAGCGGAATAAAACGGGATAACAGACCACAATTACGGGGTAATCAGCCAGTCCACGTTTATCGCAATGAAGATGGGACAGCGCCTAGCTATTGTCGCTCTACTGATTCATTTATTGAAACGTCAAGCAATGTGATTGACAGTCTTCAAAACGTAGCGTAATGTAATCTTAATCGAACTCTATGGTGCAATCGGAAGTTAAACAGATGAGGGCAGAAATATCATTTTTTTCCTGTTAGGAATTTGACAAAAATACTGAACCCACAATGGACTAAACTGACCCTTTTAACAGCGGACAGTAAAATGATTTTCTGACTATAAAAAAACTATGTTTGTACTTCAGAAAAAAGAAAAGCGGTTGCTCAGCAATAGTCAGTTGCAATAGAAACAAAGTTAAGCGTGATGACGTTTGCGTGACAAAGTAAAATACTTATTAGAATTACACTCGGAGACCAATATCATCGAATTTATTACAAAAAAAACTATAAAGCAAAAAAAAAGGCCGAGCTGGCACCCTGCAGTTACCTTGAAGATCAATTTTACATAAAATAAATGGAATTAGACGACAACTCATTGCTATCCTACTGTCAATAGAGCACCATCCTTTAACCTGCAAAACAAAGACCGAAAACAAGAAAAAGAGACAGAAGCTTGAAAAGAATACTCTCGCTGGGAGATTGCTTTCGTATTCGAAGCTCGGAGGAAGCAAACGGAGAAAGCAAGGTGTCGACAACGCGGAAGAACAGCGTTAGCAATGAGTGAAACTTGAAAGTCACGAGGATATCGTGAAGGAAGAATATACTGCTAAGATTTCGTCACCTGTACTGTTATGATGAAAGGGTAGTTCGCTTGTTTAAAAATCAATCATGCAGTTTAACACGCACATAAGGGAAGCAGATACATTTCAACTTCATTCAGATTAAATCCTTTATTATAACCAACCGAATTCATTATCATGATTTAAAATCTCTGGTTGTTACCTAGGTTTCGACTTGATCGCTACGATTGCTGAAAATGAAGGGAAAACCTGACAGCTCTTCAAAGATCACTGCGATACTGCTGGTTTTCATATGATCGCCACAATTCTTTAACCTTTTTCAGCCACGATTCCAGGCTTGAGTTACACTTTGGTCACAATTAAGAAAGGCTATAAAGTTATTTTCCTCAAAACGAATTTCGAAATGTTTTCTTCAGATGCCAGCCTTGCATACTACTAAGTATTCCTTGAAAACATGGACTACATATATATACACGCTGACTAATAATAAGGAAATTAGACCATTAAGTGAAGGGACATAATTAACTTGTGGCTTCTAAACCCTTTCATCTCAAAAGGTGGCTAAAACTCTAAGACATATAACAACCATCTTGAAGTAAAATATTGAGAAACACTGCAAGAAGCACCAATCACAATTTTGAAGGAACATCAAACGGTTTCATTTTATACATTTTACAGAGCTACATACTAAATGATATAGTACGGTCTGTACGTACCGCTAAAGAGGTTTCTGAACTGTCGCTCTAGAGTTTCTATCCTGCGAAGCAGACCTTTCCAACCGGGTTATGAAAGTTGAACCAAAAGGAAAAAACAAACAAACGCGGAAACGCTTGCTACGCAGGCTACTACATATTTTCATCCAAGGACTCAAAGGTTAGCAAACTGCACCTTGCCATAATAAACTCTAGTAGTGATATCATTAAAAATAAATAAATAAATGTACACCGTTGTCGACCTTTTCCGTCACCTTAATACATATGTTGTGGTTTAATGTTATCCGTGGTTCAAATTTTATTTTCCTTTGTTTTAAACTCATTACCACACATTACCATACCCAAAAACAAAAGAAAATAAAATCTAAACCAAGGATTAAAATTGAACCAGAACACATACATGCAGCATCTATTAACTTTAAGTCACTTCCACTCCAAGGGCTGCTGTTATTACATAGCACATCGTGGGTGACAAACACGGTGATCAGGAGATTTTAAAGTGCTGGAAGAGGTAAATTATTCAAACGTACAGTTTTTTTTTCAATCGAAGGAGCACTATGTTTATTTGAGGGCAAAATAAAGAAATATAAAGACAATAATTCATCCCATTTAAGGTTATCTCATTATAGTGGAACTTGCATGATTCAGGATTCCAATCGTAACTAGGATTCCGCATTTCTTGAGCTGTACTCCGACTTCTAAAGGCCAGGATTCCGTATTCCACAAACTAAACATTTACGTATTCAAGAACCGCCTGATTACCTTACATGGGAGCGAAAACAACTCCTTACACTGACCCATGAAAATACCGCATTCCTGAACAGAGGCGTGGCAGTTAATCTGACATGTAAATAAGGAATAGAAATGCGTGGTGCACTTAAATACCATTATAAGAGTGCTGCTGCTTTTGAACACAGGATTGTTCTGCACAGGCAGTGACTGGTACCAATGTTAAACATTTTCCATGAGTGGAGTTCTTTTCTGTCTTTGTGTTAAGTACTTGCTCCTTTGCTGAGCAATCCAGGCGTTGATCTGTTTTTCATTCTTGCTGTACACATTTAGAAAGATCCCCAGGAGAACAATACCACCGGACCAAACGTAACTAAAAGAGAAAAAAGAAAACAAAAGAAAGAACCTACACTGAACCTGTTTTCACAGAGCCTGTTTCTCCTTACAATACCAAGGTTGTTTAAGGTTTCCTCTATACGGATACTCGAATAATTAACAATTATTCCACGAGAGCTTGTTTCAGTAAGCTACAATAAATATCAAGCCAAAAAATCTATTAGGCCTTATCAGTAATGTCAAACCTTCCCATGTGGTGATAATGAAATCAATAAAGTGGTGAATTAAAACGAGTGATGTGATGGTTTTACAACTTTCTACGCCCGAGATATTCAAGCCTGTTCAGGGACAAAATGGTCAAGTTTTCCACGGTGACAAGTTCTGTTTGTTACGGATAAGCCACAATAGGGCCATTTATACGAGGAAAAATAAGACGCGGCTTAGCTAAGACGCGTCTTATTAGATAAGACATGCTCGTATAAATGGTACAGTTCGCGTCTTATTTAAGACGCGTCTTATTTTTCCTCGTATAAATGGCCCTAATATAGTGTGATACGGAGCTCACTGAGGGTAAGGGTAAAATCCTATACTTACTGTATTGTGAAGGGTTTAGCGAAAAATATAAATGACAAAACCATTGTGACAGCTTTACGACCTGTAGTCACTGGAACACAAAATAATAACAGAATTAGATGAAAGTAACTATGACAACAATATTGCAGAAGCCTGTGTACATCCGCCCCCTTCGCTCAAACAAAAACGACGGGAGGAGGCGGATGTACACAGGCTAACAATAATGCAGTTAATGGTGTTATTGACTGTTGCACTACAGGAGTCAACGGAAAGGCGAGAGTATTATAGCCTGCGAGCAAGCTCTCCTTTTTTTAAAATTTGGGGGGAGTCGCGAGAAGTCACATGAGAGCCGCATTCGAAAAGAGATGCTAGTGCGTTCTCTCACAGCTCGCAGGCTACGAGTGTTATGGGGAATATTATAGTCTGGAGGGAGCCTTCAAGGTGAGGTCAGACTAGAAAATTAAGCAGAGGGAAAATTGGGGGAAAGAAAAAAGGATGGGACAAGAGAACTGTTTACAGGCTGAAAAGGTGACCGGTCGTTTCGCTAACGTTCCGTTCGCTAACATCTTAAGTCGTTCCGCTAAGAAGTGAACGAGCGCTGCGCAGATATATGCTTCGTTCTCTCAGTCATGATACAAAAAAGTGCGATACGCATGTATATTCCTCGTTCTTTCAGCCACTGATCAGAAAGTAGTTAGGGAACTGACCTAACACGTAAGCAAAACGACTTCAGAAGTTAGTGGTTAAGCAGTATCAAAACCAATACGTTGTCAAGGTATTAAACGCTGGTTAACGCTAACCATGCTTCGAGCAGCTGGGCCCAGGACGTTGGCGAAACGACCGTAAACCGCTGAAAATATACTGTGTTTGGTAGGAATATGTTAAAATTATATTTCAAGCACTGTCTTACACGACATGTCTAGATCACTTATCATGACCAATGACATGAAATTAACTATGTTTGAGCGTCGCCTCAATCCGTTTAAAAGGGCATTTGGTAGTTATGGATACCGTATTTCCTCGAATAATAGCCGTCCCTCGATTAATCGCCTCCCTCGAATAATCGCTCCCCTTTGATGGTAATATTTGAAATAATCGCCTCCCTCGAATAGTCGCCCCCCCNCCCTTTGATGGTAATATTTGAAATAATCGCCTCCCTCGAATAGTCCCCCCCCCCCCCTCTCTGTCAAGTTGAAGTGGAATCTGATCCAGCAAAACTGATCAGTTACGATTCAAGCTCTGAAAATTAATCAAGGAACCAAATTTCGAACACTTTAAAAGCCCGTCTTCAGTTTATTTGATATGATAATTTTTGGATTTATTGGGATAATAAAACAAAATATTTAGGGCACGACTTCCAGTGAGTAATATTTGAAATAATCGCCCCCTCTTGACACGAAAAAAAGAAATAATCGCCCCCGGCTACTATTCGAGGAAATACGGTAGTTTCATAGTGCTAGACTGAAGCCATTTTAAATAAAATCTGGCCACTGATTTTTGTTTGTCATTGATTGAAAAATAGCCTTTAAGATATTCACAGTACTTGACATAAATGACACGGCCTATTGACAGGCTCTCAAGAATATTACTGTAAAAAAAGAAAGAAACTCATGGGTAACTTATTGACACACCAAGTATTTTCAGGCTATGTCTTTTAAAATTGAAGCTGAGTAAATATAAACCTAAGAGAATTGAAAATCGCTTAAATGATCGGTTAACTGCGAACGAAAAAACACATTAAAATAATTAATAATATTAGTACAACTTTGGGTCATTCAAATGTTCTGTAATTACAACTTTGATTAAAAACCAGTATCCCATCTCACTCAGTTTATGATTATAAAGCAAAT